AACATACCTGTCCAAGTGCTAAAAAACACTGAAATGGTCAAGTTGAGGCACGTTACCTTTCTCTCAGTAGTCTATTCATAGCTTTTGAAATTTGGTTGATTTGACACGGAATGACCCCATAGCAAACACATAGCATTATGAGGGATTTCCACAAATATGTAAAAAAGTTATAAATCACTGAGCCTCCTTTCACCAATTTAGCAACAGAAGCAGACTTTGTGTTCTACAGCATTTCTAAACACAGCCACAGCTTTCTACAGGCTTTGAACTTCAGATGCGCTACTCAACATGAAGAGGCTGGGGAAAAACGCAGGAAAGAGCAAAAAAGAGGAAAGGGGGGGGGTTTATTTGGATCGTTTTTCATGGAGTGTCAAAAGGGCTTCCACAATCACCAAATCAATCCCGACCTACTGGTAACTGGGCAAGAGGTGAGAGGTGCTTAGCTGTGAGAGAGTGTGAGAAAATAGAGAGAGAGACAGAAAGAAAGAAAGGGGGAGAGAGAGAAAGCAATGATCAGTTTTGCAGTGAAACTGAAGGAGTAAATCTCGCTGGTAATCCCTTATTAAATAGTTCTTAGAACTTTTTGGTCTTTGTGCGGTTCTGTGCTTGTCTTTTCCGTCAGTAAAAAGCCTGTTAAAATCCAATAAGAGGGCTGGATATGGACCGCTTGTCACAGTGCTAATACACACCAACAGTGTGCAGGATCAGGATCTGAAACACTAATTTACCACAAGCTTTTGCTATAACAAGATCTCAAGAAAGAATACTACTACATGCACTTGAAGAGAGCAAAATTATATTTAAACTTTTTAATAAAATAAAATACATAAATGCATACTTGCAGTATTATTCAAAAGTTTGGGGTGAGTTGATTTCACATTAATACCATTATAACTTCATATAAATGCTATAAAGTTTCTATTTATCAAAAAATCCTGAAATAAATTTACACAAAAAAAGCAATACAAATCTTTTCAACATTTGTAACAAGAATTGTTTCTTGAGTCCAAAGCAGCATATTAAAATGATTTCTGAAGAAATAGAAAAAAAATCTAATAATACAATTTGACAATATTGTTGTTTTTAACTTTTTGATTAAATAAATGCAAATAAATACATTTGTAAAATATAAAATGATAATAAATTAAAATGAACTATTCTGATTCCATTTCCTTCTCACATAACAAATCAGTATTTCATGTCTGTTTATTTATTTATTTGGGTGGCTATTGTTTTAGCATACTTCCTATGTAAAAATACGATCAATTCCTGAAGGTCATACACGGAATATACTGTTTCACCCAGAAATACATTACATTATGGACTTAAAATGGGATGCAAATTGAAATTCCAGTTGACTTTACCGACTAGGCTACACATGCCCCCAGTCTGTGTTCACACTCGCTTACAATTTATGACATGTTATGAAGTTTCTAGTAGACTTCAAAGAAAGCCATTTTGAAACTAAATGACCTCTGAGCTGCCATGACTGACAATGTGCCAGTGATCGACCTGTCACCAATAAAAGTCATATAGTCAAAAGACCTGCAGCTAGTCCATCTAGACACTGCAAATCTTCATCTCAGAGAGTATAAGAACACAAAAATCTAAATATTTTAGTCTCTTTGTACTTTAGAGTGATGAGATGAAGTTTCAAATGATATCTGAGGATACAAGTCAATCACGTTCCGTCAATCACTCCCTCATCATCTCCAAACACAGTCTTGAGTGTCACTCCCAGGATCCTCAGAGACATTTCAACTATTTAGCAAGACACCAATGCTAGCAGACAAACTGAGAGCAATTCATTTCAATGCTCGTTCAGTATTTGTTACAAAACCAAAAAGCAAAATCTCCTTGAAAATTGTTATCTCTGAAATGAAGCCGGCTTGCACTTTCTTCTCCTGCCTTTGTTGAACCCATTCCAAATCCATCTTTCTCTTAAAAAGGATTATTTAACTTTTTGCCTTTTAAAAACTTCCTCCAAAATGGCTAATTATATCAAGCTAGCATCTTAGATCTAACTGATGTTTCAATAGCTATGCAACAGACAGGGCCTTGACAAGCAGAAGAAAACTTCACTTTAATGTTTAATGGCATATCTGAGAAAGAAGGATGGTGAAGGGCGCAGTACATGCGAATGTGCGTTAGTGTGCGCTAGCACTTCTAAGCTCAGCAGATGTCCCTCCTACAAATGTGGCAGCCGTTGCAGGTGTATCGCTGTCGCCTCCCCATGCGTCAGATAATATCACAGCCACAAAAGAGTTTACAAAACACACAGCTAACTGCCAATTATTGCGAACAAGTCGCTGCCTGCACGGCACCTCGATGCAGCGCTCAAAAGCCGCTCTTCGAGAGGGTGTGTTGTGATTTTCTCTGTCATATAAGCATGTTTAAGAAGGTGATGATATGTAACCGAATATATATAACTATAGGCAATCATTCGCACATCAGATACTCATTATGGTGCAGGGGTTTATGTAAAAAAGCTAAATAATGTTCAGGCTGTGAATAAGCAGCTAAAGTTGCTCTGCTGTGGTGCTGTTGGAGGTGGATGTCTGCTGGGCTTTTCACACTCGCACCTCGGATGGAAAACATATTTATAATAGCAGCTCTCACACCGCACTTCCATTAGTGTGCCGCTTTAAATGCCACCAGGTTAATTAAATCTCTGATTACTGTGATTCAAATGCGTGAGTATGTGGAGGGAATCCAGCACATACTAAGGAGGAGAGATTTAAAGAAGGACATTTTCAGGACATGAATATCAAGTATATCAAGTGACACAATCCAAGCCATTGGTCAATTAATTTCCAGTCAAATTAAATATAGATCACATCTTAGGTGCACTGAATGCAAATTAATTTAGGTGTCTAAAAACCACTTCCGGGCATGTCGATAAGTCAACCGATTGTATGATTGGACCACAGTAGGCATTGCTCTTAAACTGTTAAGAGGTGGATTGATTCACTGCGACCAAACTGTGCTTTGCGCACCTGAACCAGGCATGTGATCCCATGCATAACTTCCTGTCCTCTACCCACCATCTCTATCAATAAAAAGCAGCAAAATTCACATGCAACAAATAGAAAGTCTATTATCTTTAAAGCATTGCTTACTGCTACTTTGCATTGACTAAATAAACTAAAAACACTGTAACTGTTATCGTGACATTTACTCTGCAAGTGCTGGGACCAAGATACTGAGGACCCATCCAATCCTCTGCCTGCTGAGGCTAATGAGTGTAATAAGGCATTTCATTGCAGCCATTATTAAAATGAGCAAGGAAACAGCCACAAAGTCTAGTTTTAAAAGGTTTGCTATCGTAGATTCAACTTTAAAAGGGTTCTGTGTACAAAACAATTTGTTTTTAGGCAGGCAACAAGCGTTAACCCTGTATGGTGTGTCAACATATAGCGCAACTGTGCTCACGGCGACCCAAGTTCGAATCCCGCCTCGAGGTCCTTTGCCAATCCTGCTCCCTTCTCTCCTCCCAGTGCTTTCCTGTCAGCTCTCTACTGTCCTCTCACAATAAAGGCATAAAAAGACCATAAATATAACTTTAAAAAATATATATAGTAATCATTTTACACAACAAGGACACATTCAATTAATCAAAAGTGACCATAAAGACGTTTGTATTGTCACAAAATATTTTTATTTCTATCAATAAAAGAAAACTTAAAAATGTTTCCACAAAAATATTAGCAGGAAAACTGAATTCAATATTAATAAAAATAAGAAATGTTTCTTCGGCAAAGTCGTGGCCTAATGGTTAGAGAGTCGGATTCATAACCCAAAGGTTGTGGGTTCGAGTCTCGTACCAGCAGGGATTGTAGGTGGGGGGAGTGAATGTACAGCGCTCTCTTCCACCTTCAATACCATGACTGAGGTGCCCTTGAGCAAGGCACCGAACCCCCAACTGCTCCCCGGGCGCCGCAGCATAAATGGCTGCCCACTGCTCCGGGTTTGTTCACGGTTAGTGTGTGTTCACTGCTGTGTGTGTGCACTTTGGATGGGATAAATGCAGAGCACTAATTCCGAGTATGGGTCACCATACTTGGCCACATGTCACATCACTTTCACTTTCACTTTCAAATCAGCACATTAAAAATATTTACATCATGATCTACATCAAAGACATACATTTTAAAATTATATTAAAATAGAAAACAGTTATTTTAAATTGTAATAATATTTCACAATATTACCATTAAATACCATTCATTCAAAAGAGGAAAATTTAAGAAAGCATAATGTTGCCATATGAAAAATACTTTTATTTTAAGAAAAAAAAAATCAATCTTCAAAATAATTTCTTTCTGAATGAAATGTTATATTTCAATAATTGGAACTCTTCCATACTAAAGCACCATATTATCTGTTACTTTAAGCATTTTAATTTTTATTTCCAATATATTACGTTATATCCTTCTCTGTAAAAAGAGAGTAAATGCAAGTCATATGGATGCACCATACCATAAAGGGTTAAAGAACAAAATTTAGGCCAGGACATTAACAATCATCAGTCAATCATTTGTCTCATTTGATCCATTTAGCTTTCTTTGAATACTTTACACTTCAACAAATTTGTTCAACAATAGGACTTGCACGTCAGAACTGAGGGAAAAATTTCTCAGGATTACAGAATGAGACAAGAGAGAGGAAACAACTGAAAGGCTTGCAGGATCCAAATACCACATTGAAAAGAAGTGAAGAAAAACAGTCTCAGATTTGAAGCAGCTCTTTTTAAACCAGGGCAAACAAACCAAATAAACACCCACCCAGCTAATTCCTTTAGGAGCTAGCCAGGTACATGAATATGAGCCTTTTGTTGATGGAAAGGCTCATCTAAAGAGCATGCAAATAAACCAAGATCCCTTCTTGTAGTAGAACTGATGCGGGTAAAATAAATAAAAAGCACTTGTCAGTGGAACCACCGACACATTAAGGACAAAATGGTTCAAAGCGTGTAAATACGGTAAGACACGTTACTCTACCTTGTAGCAGGACTCCCTTGTTTTTTCTGTAAAAGGGACTTCCTGGCCAAATTGGAGGACTGGACATACTGTAAAGAAAACAAAGTGGAGAGAATGATGAGAAAGTGACACAGACAGATGATGTACAACTGACAGATGGACTGCAATCCTGAAAAACAGACAGCGAAATGGCATGAAAGATATTTTAAGAGATAAACCGTGCCAAAAGACAGAGAAAGCGCATATCCACAAAGAATTACCATGGTGACTGTAGCTTCTGCCAATTTTAATGTTGATAGTTGATACTGTAAAATCATAAATTAATACAGGATCACAGTTCAAGTTATCAAGTTATGAGATCATGTCATCACAGATTTACATTAATAACATTAACTGATGCAGCTAGAGAGGAGCAAAGCTACATGTTTTCAAATAAAATGCTTAAAAAACAGTCGCAACGCAATTTCCAAAAGATGTCTGTCTGATTATACATGGCTGTTTTAATGGAAAATATCACATAATAATGATGCTGAATATCTACTCACTCTCAGGTCAACCAAGATGTAAATTATTTTGTTTCTACATCAGTACAGATCTGGAAAAATGTAGCATTACATCACTTGCTCACCAGTGGATCCTCTGCAGTGAATGGGTGCCGTCAGAATGAGAGAACAATAATCCACAAGTAATCAACACGACTCCAGTCCATCAATCCTAAATCCAAAAATTTCCTCAAGTGAAAAATCCCCTGCTGTCCTTTCACATTAAAATCCACCTTTATATTTATATCTGTGCATATTTCACTCCTGATTCAGACGAGACATTTGACTTTAAAAACGTCTTGATGGATTTGTTTCTTACAAACACGTAGACTTTCACTTCAAAATACATTAATTGATGGACTGGAGTGGTGTGGATTATTGTGATGTTTTTATCAGCTGTTTGGACTCTCATTCTGACGGCACCCATTCACTGCAGAGGATCCACTGAGGAAAATTTCACCAAATCTGATTTGATGAAGAAACAAACTCATCTACATCTAAGATGGCCTGAGGGTGAGTAAATTTTCAGCAAATTTTTATTTTGGGGAAAACTCTTCCTTCAAGTATTATAATAAGACGAATTTCAAAACAACTTTTCTACAGGGTTTTACCATGTGATTTGTCAGCTGAAGGAGCTACAGTAACAGTTAAAGCTAATCAAAACTGCAATAAATTAATAAATGAAAAAAATCCAATAGAATAATAAAAAAGAAAAAAAATCTAAAACTAGTAAACCTTCAACAAATGAGTAGTAAACTTTGGGTACGATGGCATGTTTTTGTATGGGAACTACAATACTTCTGCCCCAGGAACCAGCAAACAGCATTTGACCGAGTAAACAAAACATGGAGGCTTATGCAATGTTGAGACGTGACTATGCAGCAACATAGTCATTACATCCTCTTTCAAATTGAGCCCTCGTAGCTTTAATCATTAGTTTGTGGTGGTGAGATGACAGGCCGGCTCAGGTGATGGTGCTGCAGACTTCAGTACACAGCTACACAGCGGGAACTCTTCAGCTGAATTACACATCCCCGACTGGTGAGACCTTCTTTTGTTTTGGCACAAATGAACTGAGCGATAAGGAAAACCATGTCAGCACTCTGTGCTGTCACTCAGGCAGGAAAATAGGATGTTTATTATTATTTTTATTATTTTTGTATTACTGGTTTTATAAAATGCCTGAAAATAGACATTCGAATATGCCTGTGATGAACAGGGGAAAAAAGCAAGTTACTCTGCTGGCTGCAAGAATCAGACCTCAGGATTGCTTCTGCTTGTGTACGATTCCTTCTCCGTCTCACTGTCTCGCTCAGCGCTCACTGTGAGCTTCACAAATCTAATCAAGAGCAGTCTAATCTTGAATTTAGCCCTCTATCCACTTTCTGCCTCCCTGTAGATTCAGAATGTGCAGACATTGGCTCTGTCATCTCCCCCTTCTTAATCTTCTTAGAGTATATTAACTAATTGAGAATTAGAACAAACAGAGGTGGCACGGGGCTTTGAGCACATTTGTCTACATGGTGTATTTAAAAGACTGCGGGTTGACGAGGCTGTTTTGGCTCTGGACCTCTCCTGATGAAGGAGCGCTCTACGGTGCGTGGCATCTCCGAGCGTCGAGAGGCCGTGTGCCAAAGCGAATAAACACAGCACTGCCACTTCACATTTGCTAATCTCCACAGGGCTGTCAGACTTCAGGTATCTGCCCTGACAATTGAGGATAATTTAGTGTGAGAAGTAATGGAACCTCTCTTTCCTTCTCCGTCTCACTGTCTCGCTCAGCGCTCACTGTGAGCTTCACAAATCTAATCAAGAGCAGTCTAATCTTGAATTTAGCCCTCTATCCACTTTCTGCCTCCCTGTAGATTCAGAATGTGCAGACATTGGCTCTGTCATCTCCCCCTTCTTAATCTTCTTAGAGTATATTAACTAATTGAGAATTAGAACAAACAGAGGTGGCACGGGGCTTTGAGCACATTTGTCTACATGGTGTATTTAAAAGACTGCGGGTTGACTAGGCTGTTTTGGCTCTGGACCTCTCCTGATGAAGGAGCGCTCTACGGTGCGTGGCATCTCCGAGCGTCGAGAGGCCGTATGCCAAAGCGAATAAACACAGCACTGCCACTTCACATTTGCTAATCTCCGCAGGGCTGTCAGACTTCAGGTATCTGCCCTGACAATTCAGGATAATTTAGTGTGAGAAGTAATGGAACCTCTCTATTTCTTTACGGATCCATTAATTACAGTGTTCCGTCAGAATGTGTTTGATTTTTTTCCCCCTCTTTTTTCCCGTTGAGAGTGATTAAAACATATCTCAGCACAGCTCAGACACAGCTTGAGATGAACATCTTCATTAGCATACTAGTCGCCTAGCAACTGAAACATCTCTAACTTTCAACTTTGAGATTTTTTCACTAACCTTACACCTGAGTACAGCCATTACTAATGTAAGGATCTACCAGTTCTGATTCACTTTTTCCCTAAATGAGAAAAAAAAAAACAGCGTACCTAAAAACAAGCAAAAAGGTCAAACTAAATACAAATACATTTACTTTTGCTCCTTACAACCACAAGAAATGAGACTAATATCAGAACAGTATAAAAATATTCACTCCACAAAAATCAGAAACTTATAAAGTTTCTTAAAAAAGTTAAGTTAAACTTAAAGACCACTGTGAATTTAATTGCTGATTAAGATATTGAGTTGAAGACTTGCAAAACAGAGTACTAAAGGCAGAAATTAATATGAAATATTTCATTCATTCATTCAGGGTTTCTGCAGACTTGAACAAGTTCAATTTAAGACTTTTTAAGACCTTTTTAATACCAC